ACTTGAATCCAAACCCAACTCTTGTATATCATCTCTCATCTCTTAAGAACCCTCTCTTACCCCATGTATAAGGTTACATGATACCCTCTTGTGTGCCCTTGTGTATATCTTTGTAGTATGTCAATCCACCTATTTATAGGGAACATTATTTGGCCAAAACTCAAATAACAATAGAAAACCAATTCTAATCCCTACATTTGTAGGAAATAACTTCTAATTCTAAATTTAATAGAATATTTCTTGGCTACTATTTCAAGTAACTAAAATCAATTAGGAAACAAGTTACTTCCACACAAAACAAGAAACCTATCTAAAAAAATTTTAGCCAATTTCCTAACATATTCTAGTTGTAAGAAAATGGATACGTACCTCCTCTAAGTGTGCTTTTATTTCCATGATCTTGTACGTCAATGTCCAAAATCATATTAGCCAACCCCTAAAATGAACAGCCCATGAGACAAAATAAAACCACTGATTAAGGGAACAATTAATGTTCAGTAAACCCAAATAAGCACTAAATCTGCCATATGAATATCCCAACAAATGCAAAATATAAACAAACACTCGAAGCATCAAAATCGATCCAGTAATCTTAGTCCAATCAAAACACTATTAAAAGTGAAATGGAGAGGAAAAAAGGTGTTGGGAACTTTTAGAAATCAACATGCTACAGACAAAGCTAGATTGTTTCTTCCTTTTTTCAACGCTATAAACACGATATAAAGAAGTAACACAAATCCTCCCTGAGATTCTTTGAAAAACACATGTGTTAGTCTAGAATCTAAATCATTCAAAAGCTGACTTAGGTATAAGATCCAAAAATCCAAAAACTCATCAGCCCAACATTTTTTTTTTACCGGAATGGCATCCAGGTACATCTTCTTCTTCACCTCAGCCTCCACTTGAAAACTTTCTAGCTTCGCTTGGAGAAGGTTGATCCTTTTGTCGGTCCAAAACCAAGAAGATGAGTATTGTTTGTCACGGGTTTTCATTAACTCCTTCAAATTTTTTATGGGCTAAGCAGCCTCTTTTTTGATTGCTAGTATAACATTTCTTTCACTCTCTCTAACAGTTTTCTTCATCTCCCTACATCATTCATCATGATTTAACTCATTCTGCTTATCAGCATTCTTTACTTGTTTCATTTGTGCCACAACTATCAAAATAGAAAGGGTATTGCTAGCACAAAACCCTATCGCATTAGCACTAGAAGCCACCTCCTTTTCAAACTTTTTAGCTATCCCAACAACCTTTTGAGCCATGCCACCAAAATGAGGAAGAACTTTCATGGAACCAAAATCAGGAAGAACTAGCATCATTTTTTATGTGTTTGAAAAAGATTGTAAAAAGATGAAATTTTGGTGAAAAGTTGCTTTGGGTTGTATTTATTTAATAGATAGAATAGGTTGGTCTAAGGGGGATTTTGTCATTTTGATAGGAAGCTGAGCTGATCCGTGCTAGTGCAATAGTTGAGCTGTACAAACAACAAAACCTTTCTGTACAAAATTGCTACTTAATTTGTTCACCATAAAAAAAGATTAAAAATAAGATTTTTTGGTGCTTTTTTATTCTGATTTTTAAAATTAACTTTTACACAATTAGAAGCAGTTAAGGACACGATCAACATCAATTAATTTTTTTAAAATATTAGATTACCATCAAGTCATAAATACACATTATAATTAATTTGTAAATGATGTAAAAAAAACTAGAGTAAAATTCTTAGAACCAAAAATTTCTAAATTTCATGGTTCTTAATTTTTTTTTTTTGTGCTTTATCTCACTGGACTTTAGCATGAGGTGAAGTTTACACTAGCTCATTCTTAGAAAAACACATGTGTTAGTCTCAAATCTTAGTCATTCAAAAGCTGACTTAGGTATAAGATCCAAAAATTCGAAAACTTATCAACCCAACATTTTTTTTACCTCAATGGCATCCAGGTACATCTTCTCTTTCACCTCACCCTCCTTCTGAAAACTTTCTAGTTTCGCTTGGAGAAGGTTGACCCTTTTGTCTGTCCAAAACCAAGAAGATGAGTATTGTTTGTCATGGATTTTCATCAACTCCTGCAAATTTTTGGTGGGCTAAGCAACCACTTTTTTTACTGCCAGTATAACCTTTCTTTCATTCTTTCTGACAGTCTTTTTCACCTCTCTACATCTATCATCATGGTTTAACTCATTCTGCTCATTAGTATTTCTTGCTTGTTCCATTTGTTTCACAGCTATCAAAATAGAAAGGGTATCGCTTGCACAGAACCCTATCACATTAGGACTAGATACCACTTCTTTTCCAAACTTTTTAGAGATACCAACAACTTTTTAAGTCATGCCATCAAAATTAGGAAGAACTTTCATGCCACCAAAATGAGGAATAACTGGCATCGTTTTTGATGCATTTGAAGATGGTTATAAAAAGATGAAGTTTTGATGAAAAGTTGCCTTAGATTGTATTTATTTAATAGATAGAATAGTTTGGTCTAAGGGGAATTTCGTCATTTTGATAGAAAGCTGAACAGATCCGTGCTAGTGCAACAGCCCAACTATACAAACAGCATAGCTTTTCAGCACAAACGTGCTACATAATTTGTTCACCCTAAAAAAGATTAAAAATAAGATTTTTTTGGGTATTTTTTATTCTGATTTTTTAAAATTAACTTTTACACAATTAGAAGCAGTTGAGGACACGATCAACATTGATTAAAATTTTTTTAAATATTAAATTACCATCAAGTCATACATACATATTACAATTAATTTGTAAATGATGCAGTAAAAACTAGAGTAAAAATCTTAGAGTAAAAAATTTCTAAATTTCACGGTTCCTAAATTTTTTTTTTTGTTTTTCTCAACAGACTTTAGTATGCTGTGAAGTTTACACCGACTCATTTTTAGAGAAACGCACATGTTAGTCTTGAATATAAGTCATTCAAAAACTGATTTAGATATAGGATCCAAAAATCTGAAAACTCATCAACCAAACATTTTTTTTTTACGTCAATGGCATCTAGGTACATCTTCTCTTTCACCTCAGCCTCCTTCTGAAAACTTTCTAGTTTCGTTTGGAGAATGTTGACCCTTTTGTTGGGCCAAAACAAAGAAAATATGTAAATCATGAGCATGAAAAAATCTGCTTAGCTTTTAACAAAAAAAAAATAAAAATACATGAGCATGAATTTATTAATGTTCAAAAGATAAAAGGTTTTAGAAATTGCATACGTTACATTTAACAAACGCGAGGTTGGCAACCTCGCATTTCTTGAATGCGAGGTTTGAAGTGATTTTTTTTTTTTGGCTTTTGTGTGTCAAAAATTTAAGGAGACATTGCATTTGACAAATGTGAGTTTCTTGAGTTCGCACTTGGCAAACGCGAAAACCACTTGGCGGAATCCCACGCACAAAAAGCCTCCTTTGCAGAAAAATTATAAATTTCATCATAAATTTGGGAATTTCTCTTAATGTTGGCCATATTTGATGGTCCTAGTAATAACTCACATGCTTTGAATGTGAATATATTTTTTCAAGATATAAAACTTTTAATATGTTAAATTTTTTGTGCAAAACTTTAATTATTGGCATAATATAAACTAAGAAACTATATAATGAACAAAATTAAGCATTTGGTAATGGTACAATATGTTTATAGTGTACAAAGTAATTAAAAGTTTATTGTACATTCTATAGTTATAAAAACTTTGAAGATGGAAGATTATCATATTTAAACTAAGTTGTTGAATATTAACTTAGAAACCATATGATAAATAAAATTTTACAAGCGTTAGTTGTAAAAAAATTTTATTATATACAAAATAATTAAAAGTTTATTGAACTCTGAAGATGGAAGAAGAGGAAATTTTGATGAACTCTAAACTAAGCTGTTACATATTTTATTTGGATTGTGACAATAAGAAGAGGAAATTTTTTATATTTTGTCAAACCAATATATACAACAAAACCTGAGCAAAATACATACCAAAACATTATGATTTGGATACAACAGATTTTTATCAATTTCAATAGTTGTAAACTTTTTCTGTTATATATATTTTTATAACTATCAACAAATTTTTTGAAGTTTTCCTTGTCAGTTCGACATAATATAGTGAATTTAATCATGAATTAAACCTTTCATTTTCTCATAAATGTTTATAACGTTTTGCCTTCTTGTTAATCATGATTTTTTTCAATACCAATATGTATATAAAATATAGTTAGCTTTAACTATCACACATAAGAATATAATAATTGGAGATAATTTTAACACATATAATAATTAGAGTTGAAGAAAATGATTGGTGAATATAGTTGTAAATGGGTAGTTTTTAATTTTTATTACCAACATTTTTGAGATGTAATTTATTGAAACTTTTCATTTTTTCTTATTAGTGTCACGATGGAAATGTAATAACTCTAATTAAAAGACATGAGGGTAATTTAGGCAAAACAAAAACTACAAGTAAAATATGTTCACACTTACACTCCCTGTTACCAAGACTCATCCTACTTTTTATATAGGAATGATAATGATACATTTGATGTTGTTACAAGGTAGACGTGTGTTTCATCGTGTGAGGGCAAGTAATTAAATACAATTTTCTTGCCAACTCTACATCATCAACAAACAACAACCGACTTTAGTTGCAGGCTATTGCTGATTGATTGACAATAATATTGAAAATTAAGATTATGTGTCATTTGCTTTATGTGAGCTGACAAATTTGGGAAGAGAGAATCCTTTAAAACACTTTGCACATTTATACATTTGCTTGCAGCAAACCTTTGCATAATAGTCAGAAAGTATGGCTAGCTTTCTTCTAATCACCACAACCGTCGTTCTTTTCTGTCTTTTGATAGCAAGAACCAGCCATAGTAGTAGGAGTAGGATAGTTACAAAAATGATTCATTATAACTCTATTCACTCCCCCTATTCTGACACAAATGCTGCTGAACATAGGGACTTGCATATTTCCTTATCTCGCTTAAGATACTTGAAGGTAAAAATGCAAGAAGACTTGAAGCGGACAGTGCAAGATGATTCAGATGATTCAAATGATGATTCAGATTATGATATTGATTTCGAGACTGGAATTTTTGTTAACACATCAATCCCTGTGTTTTTGGTGGGTCTCAACATTGGTTCACGAGAGGCTGCTCAATTGGTTGCGTTGGATACTGGTAGTAATCTTCTTTGGGTTCATTGCAAACCTGGTATAGGCGGCAGTAAGACATTCTATAGAAACTATTGGCTTGGGGAGTCTTCAACATATTCTGCTAATATGAGGTGCGAGGACCTTTGTTCTTCTACTTCATTGACATGTAAAACAAGACCCAATCTCTACTCATATCAATTGAAATATTTGGGTGAAGTCGTTGTCCGTGGAAATCTTCCATTCGAAAGATTTGTTTTCGGTTTATCATTTGACAACCAACTAACGCATGAGTTAAACAATCTGTTATTTGGATGTACTAGAAAAGATAGCTAAATAGACAAGTTCAATGGTGTCTTGGGGCTTGGTCCTTCAGGAATCTCATTAGCTTCACAACTGGATAGTAGTGAGTTCTCTTATTGTATTGAAAATTTAAGCAATCTATTTGATGAAAAAAATGTACTGATCGTAGGGAAAAAGTCCGGAGGAGTTGAAAACTCAACTCATCTTATTATTAGGGAGTTCCATTACTACGTAAATCTTGAAGGCATTAGCTTTGGGGGTAGGATGCTCGGCATTGACAAAAAGGATTTGAGAATGGATAATTTTAAAAGTGGTAGGGGTGCATTTATTGATTTAGGTTCAAGTTTGAGTTTCCTTCAAGATATTGCATACGAGAAACTTGAACAGGCAATTATTGATTACATAGCGGACTCATTGGAAAGACAATATTTCTCTTTGGACAAATATCAGCTTTGCTATATTGGACACTTGTTTAGGGATTTTAGGGGCTTTCCAACAATAGCTTTTCATTTTGATGGAGCAACAATGAAAAAAGATAAAGAGAATTTGTTTAAGCAAGTATACCCAAATGTGGTATGTTTAAGTGTGTTGAATGCTGCAGAGAATGGTGTCGATCATAGTCTTCTTGGCGTAGAACTCCAAAAATATTTCTATATATCATTTGACATGAATGAAATGCAAGTTAACTTCGAGAGGATGAATTGTGATGCTATTTGGAATTATAATATATGATGAAATGTAAGTTAATTTCGAGATGATGGATTGTGCTGCTCTTTGGGATGATAATCTATGATGAGGATGTGATGCTCTCTTTTATGTTGAAACTCTTGGAAATGCCGAAGAAGACTTTGAATGGGTGAAGCGGCCTTGTTAATGCCTTTGCCTTTTCATTATAATCAACAACAAATTGTTTAAGCATTTTTCTTATCTATTCAGGTTTTGAATCGAATTTGAGATGGATTACATAATTTCTTTCTCTTCCTACTATGAGTGTTTCAAAAAATTCCATCCACAGAATTTGAATTTAAGTACAGTTAGCTTACTGATTATATAAAATATGTACAAGATATGTGTATAAAATATGTATAAACCAATATGTATATAAAATATAGTTAGCTTTAACTATCACACATAAGAATATAATAATTGGAAATAATTTTAACACATATAATAATTGGAGTTGAAGAAAATTATTGGTGAATATAGTTGTAAATAGGTAGTTTTTAATTTTTATTACCAACATTTTTGAGATGTAATTTATTGAAACTTTTCATTTTTTCTTATTAGTGTCATGATTGAAATGTAATAACCCTAATTAAAAGACATGAGGGTAATTTAGGCAAAATAAAAACTAAAAGCAAAATATGTTCACACTTACACTCCCTGTTACCAAGACTCATCCTACTTTTTGTATAGGAATGATAATGATACATTTGATGTTGTTACAAGGCAGACGTGTGTTTCATCGTGTGAGGGCAAGTAATTAAATACAATTTTCTTGCCAACTCTACATCATCAACAAACAACAACCGACTTTAGCTGCAGGCTATTGCTGATTGATTGACAATAACATTGAAAATTAAGATTATGTGTCATTTGCTTTATGTGAGCTGACAAATTTGGGAAGAGAGAATCCTTTAAAACACTTTGCACATTTACACATTTGCTTGCAGCAAACCTTTGCATAATAGTCAGGAAGTATGACTAGCTTTCTTCTAATCACCACAACCGTCGTTCTTTTCTGTCTTTTGATAGCAAGAACCAGCCATAGTAGTAGGAGTAGGATAGTTACAAAAATGATTCATTATAACTCTATTCACTCCCCCTATTTTGACACAAATGCTGCTGAACATAGGGACTTGCATATTTCCTTATCTCGCTTAAGATACTTGAAGGTGAAAATATAAGAAGACTTGAAGCGGACAGTGCAAGATGATTCAAATGATTCAAATGATGATTCAGATCATGATATTGATTTCGAGACTGGAATTTTTGTTAACACATCAATCCCCGTGTTTTTGGTGCGTCTCAACATTGGTTCACGGGAGGCTGCTCAATTGGTTGCGTTGGATACTGGTAGTAATCTGTTTTGGGTTCCTTGCAAACCTGGTATAGGCGGCAGTAGGACATTCTATGGAAACTATTGTCCTGGGGAGTTTTCAACATATTCTGCTAATATGAGGTGCGAGGACCTTTGTTCTTCAACTCCATTGACATGTAAAACAACACCCAATCTCTGCTCATATCAATTGAAATATTTGGGTGAAGTCGTTGTCCGTGGGAATCTTGCATTTGAAAGATTTGTTTTCGGTTTATCATTTGACAACCAACCAATGCATGAGTTAAATAATCTATTATTTGGATGTACTAGAAAAGATAGCTACATAGACAAGTTCAATGGTGTCTTGGGGCTTGGCCCTTCAGGAATCTCATTAGCTTCACAACTGGATAGTAGTGAGTTCTCTTATTGTATTGAAAATTTAAGCGATCCATTTGATGAAAAAAATGTACTGATCATAGGAAAAAAGTCCGAAAGAGTTGAAAACTCAACTCCTCTTATTATTAGGGAGTTTCATTACTACGTAAATCTTGAAGGCATTAACTTTGGGGGTAGGATGCTCGGCATTGACAAGAAGGATTTGAGAATGGATAATTTTAAAAGTGGTGGGGGTGCAATTATTGATTTAGGTTCAAGTTTGAGTTTCCTTCAAGATATTGCATACGAGAAAGTTGAACAAGGCAATTGTTGATTACATAGGGGACTCATTGAAAAGACGATATTTCTTTTTGGACAAGTATCAGCTTTGCTATATTGGACACTTGTTTAGGGATTTTAGGGGGTTTCCAACAATAGCATTTCATTTTGATGGAGCAACAATGGAATTAGATAAAGAGAATTTGTTTAAGCAAGTATACCCAGATGTGGTATGTTTAAGTGTGTTGAATGCTGCAGAAAATGGTGTCGATCATAGTCTTCTTGGCGTAGAACTCCAAAAATATTTCTATATATCATTTGACATGAATGAAATGCAAGTTAACTTCGAGAGGATGAATTGTGATGCTATTTGGAATTATAATATATGATGAAATGTAAGTTAACTTCGAGAGGATGTATTGTGCTGCTCTTTGAGATGATAATCTATGATGAGGATGTGATGCTCTTTTATGTTGAAACTCTTGGAAATGCCGAATAAGACTTTGAATGGGTGAATCTGCCTTGTTAATGCCTTTGCCTTTTCATTATAGTCAACAACAAATTGTTTAAGCATTTTTCTATTCTATTCAGGTTTTGAATCGAATTTGAGATGGATTACATAATTTCTTTCTCTTCCTACTATGAGTGTTTCGTAAAATTTCTTCCACAAAATTTGAATTTAAGTACAGTTAGTTTGCTGATTATATAAAATATGTATATACCAATATGTATATAAACTATAGTTCGCGTTAACTATCACACATAACAATATAATTATTGGAGATAATTTTAACACATAATAATTGGAGTTGAAGAAAATGATTGGTGAATATAGTTGTAAATGGGTAGTTTTTAATTTTTATTACCAACATTTTTGAGATGTAATTTATTGAAATTTTTCATTTGTTCTTATTAGTGTCATGATTGAAATGTAATAACTCTAATTAAAAGACATGAGGGTAATTTAGGCAAAACAAAAACTAAAAGCAAAATATGTTCACACTTACACTCCCTGTTACCAAGACTCATCCTACTTTTTGTATAGGAATGATAATAATACATTTGATGTTATTACAAGGCAGACGTGTGCTTCATCGTGTGAGGGCAAGTAATTAAATACAATTCTTTTGTCAACTCTACATCATCAACAAACAACAACCAATTTTAGTTGCAGGCTATTGCTGATTGATTGACAATAACATTGAAAATTAAAATTATGTGTCCTTTGCTTTACGTGAGCTGACAAATTTGGGAAGAGAGAATCCTTTAAAACACTTTGCACATTTACACATTTGCTTGCAGCAAACCTTTGCATAATAGTCAGAAAGTATGGCTAGCTTTTTCTAATCACCACAACCGTCGTTCTTTTCTGTCTTTTGATAGCAAGAACCAGCCATAGTAGTTGGAGTAGGATAATTACAAAAATGATTCATTATAACTCTATTTACTCCCCCTATTTTGACACAAATGCTGCTGAACATAGGGACTTGCATATTTCCTTATCTCGCTTAAGATACTTGAAGGTGAAAATGCAAGAACACTTGAAGCGGACAGTGCAAGATGATTCAAATGATTCAAATGATGATTCAGATCGTGATATTAATTTTGAGACTGGAATTTTTGTTTATACATCAATCCCCGTGTTTTTGGTGGGTCTCAACATTGGTTCACGGGAGGCTGCTCAATTGGTTGCGTTGGATACTGGTAGTAATCTGTTTTGGGTTCCTTGCAAACCTGGTATAGGCGGCAGTAGGACATTCTATGGAAACTATTGGCCTGGGGAGTTTTCAACATATTCTGCTAATATGAGGTGCGAGGACCTTTGTTCTTCAACTCCATTGACATGTAAAACAACACCCAATCTCTGCTCATATCAATTGAAATATTTGGGTGAAGTCGTTGTCCGTGGAAATCTTGCATTTGAAAGATTTGTTTCGGTTTATCATTTGAAAACCAACCAACGCATGAGTTAAATAATCTGTTATTTGGATGTACTAGAAAAGATAGCTACATAGACAAGTTCAATGGTGTCTTGGGGCTTGGTCCTTCAGGAATCTCATTAGCTTCACAACTGGATAGTAGTGAGTTCTCTTATTGTATTGGAAATTTAAGCGATCTATTTGATGAAAAAAATGTACTGATCGTAGGGAAAAAGTCCGGAGGAGTTGAAAACTCAACTCCTCTTATTATTAGGGAGTTCCATTACTATGTAAATCTTGAAAGCATTAGCTTTGGGGGTAGGATGCTCGGCATTGACAAAAAGAATTTGAGAATGGATAATTTTAAAAATGTTGGGGGTGCAATTATTGATTTAGGTTCAAGTTTGAGTTTCCTTCAAGATATTGCATACGAGAAAGTTGAACAAGGCAATTGTTGATTACATAGGGGACTCGTTGGAAAGACGATATTTCTCTTTGGACAAGTATCAGCTTTGCTATGTTGGACACTTGTTTAGGGATTTTAGGGGCTTTCCAACAATAGCATTTCATTTTGATGGAGCAACAACGGAATTAGATAAAGAGAATTTGTTTAAGCAAGTATACCCAGATGTGGTATGTTTAAGTGTGTTGAATGCTGCAGAGAATGGTGTTGATCATAGTCTTTTTGGTGTAGAACTCCAAAAATATTTCTATAAATCATTTAACATGAATGAAATGCAAGTTGATTTCGAGAGGATGAATTGTTATGCAATTTGGAATTATAATATATGATGAAATGTAAGTTAACTTCGAGAGGATGGATTGTGTTCCTCTTTGGAGTGATAATCTGTGATGAGGATGTGATGCTCTTTTTTGTTGAAATTCTTGGAAATGCCGAAGAAGATTTTGAATTGGTGAAGCTGTCTTGTTAATGCCTTTGCCTTTTCATTATAGTCAACAACAAATTGTTTAAGCATTTTTCTGTTCTATTCAGGTTTTGAATCGAATTTGAGATGGATTACATAATTTCTTTCTCTTCCTACTATGAGTGTTTCGGAAAATTTCATCTACAGAATTTGAATTTAAGTACAGTTAGTTTGCTGATTATATAAAATATGTATATAAAATATGTATATACCAATATGTATATAAACTATAGTTTGCGTTAACTATCACACATAACAATATAATTATTGGAGATAATTTTAACACATATAATAATTGGAGTTGAAGAAAATGATTGGTGAATATATTTGTAAATAGGTAATTTTTAATTTTTATTACCAACATTTTTTAGATGTAATTTATTGAAACTTTTCATTTTTTCTTATTAGTGTCATGATTGAAATGTAATAACTCTAATTAAAAAATATGAGGGTAATTTAGGCAAAACAAAAACTAAAAGCAAAATATGTTCACACTTACACTCCCTGTTACCAAGACTCATCCTACTTTTTATATAGGAATGATAATGATACATTTGATGTTGTTACAAGGCAAACGTGTGCTTCATCGTGTGAGAGCAAGTAATTAAATACAATTCTTTTGTCAACTCTACATCATCAACAAACAACAACCAATTTTAGTTGCAGGCTATTGCTGATTGATTGACAATAACATTGAAAATTAAAATGATGTGTCATTTGCTTTACGTGAGCTGACAAATTTGGGAAGGGAGAATCCTTTAAAACACTTTGCACATTTACACATTTGCTTGCAGCAAACCTTTGCATAATAGTCAGAAAGTATGGCTAGCTTTCTTCTAATCACCACAACCGTCGTTCTTTTCTGTCTTTTGATAGCAAGAACCAGCCATAGTAATAGGAGTAGGGTAGTTACAAAAATGATTCATTATAGCTCTATTTACTCCCCCTATTTTGACACAAATGCTGCTGAACATAGGGACTTGCATATTTCCTTATCTCGCTTAAGATACTTGAAGGTGAAAATGCAAGAAGACTTGAAGCGGACAGTGCAAGATGATTCAGATGATTCAAATGATGATTCAGATCATGATATTGATTTCGAGACTGGAATTTTTGTTAACACATCAATTCCTGTGCTTTTGGTGGGTTTCAACATTGGTTCACGGGAGGCTGCTCAATTGGTTGCGTTGGATATTGGTAGTAATCTGCTTTGGGTTCAGTGCAAACCTGGTATAGGCGGCAGTAGGACATTCTAAAGAAACTATTGGCCTGGTGAGTCTTCAACATATTCTGCTAATATGAAGTGCGAGGACCTTTGTTCTTCTACTCCATTGACATGTAAAACAACACCCAATCTCTGCTCATATCAATTGAAATATTTGGGTGAAATCGTTGTCCGTGGAAATCTTGCATTTGAAAGATTTGTTTTCGGTTTATCATTTTACAACCAACCAACGCATGAGTTAAACAATCTGGTATTTGGATGTACTAGAAAAGATAGCTACATAGACAAGTTCAATGGTGTCTTGGGGCTTGGTCCTTCAGGAATCTCATTAGTTTCACAACTGGATAGTAGTGAGTTCTCTTATTGTATTGGAAATTTAAGCGATCCATTTGATGAAAAAAATGTACTGATCATAGGGAAAAAGTCCGAAGGAGTTGAAAACTCAACTCCTCTTATTATTAGGGAGTTCCATTACTACGTAAATCTTGAAGGCATTAGCTTTGGGGATAGGATGCTCGGTATTGACAAAAAGGATTTGAGAATGGATAATTTTAAAAGTGGTGGGGGTGCAATTATTGATTTAGGTTCAAGTTTGAGTTTCCTTCAAGATATTGCATACGAGAAAGTTGAACAAGGCAATTGTTGATTACACAGAAGACTTATTGGAAAGACAATATTTCTCTTTGGACAAGTATCAGCTTTGCTATATTGGACACTTGTTTAGGGATTTTAGGGGTTTTCCAACAAAAGCATTTCATTTTGATGGAGCAACAATGGAATTAGATAAAGAGAATTTGTTTAAGCAAGTATACCCAGATGTGGTATGTTTAAGTGTATTGAATGCTGCAGAAAATGGTGTCGATCATAGTCTTCTTGGCGTAGAACTCCAAAAATATTTCTATAAATCATTTGACGTGAATGAAATGCAAGTTAACTTCGAGAGGATGAATTGTGATGCTATTTGGATTTATAATATATGATGAAATGTAAGTTAACTTCGAGAGGATGGATTGTGCTGCTCTTTGGGATGATAATCGCTGATGAGGATGTGATGTTCTTTTATGTTGAAGCTCTTGGAAATGCCGAAGAAGACTTTGAATGGGTTAAGCTGCCTTGTTAATGCCTTTGCCTTTTCATTATAATCAACAACAAATTGTTTAAGCATTTTTCTGTTCTATTCAGGTTTTGAATCGAATTCGAGATGGATTACATAAGTTCTTTCTCTTCCTACTATGAGTGTTTCAAAAAATTCCATCCACAGAATTTGAATTTAAGTACAGTTAGTTTGCTGATTATATAAAATATGTATAAAATATGTATATACCAATATGTATATAAAATATAGTTAGCTTTAACTATCACACATAAAATATAATAATTGGAAATAATTTTAACACATAATAATTGGAGTTGAAGAAAATGATTGGTGAATATAGTTGTAAATAGGTAGTTTTTAATTTTTATTACCAACATTTTTGAGATGTAATTTATTGAAACTTTTCATTTTTTCTTATTAGTGTCATGATTGAAATGTAATAACCCTAATTAAAAGACATGAGGGTAATTTAGGCAAAACAAAAACTAAAAGCAAAATATGTTCACACTTACACTCTCTGTTACCAAGACTCATCTTACTTTTTATATAGGAATGATAATGATACATTTGATATTGTTACAAGGCAACGTGTGCTTCATCGTGTGAGGGCAAGTAATTAAATACAATTCTTTTGTCAACTCTACATCGTCAACGAACAACAAGCAACTTTAGTTGCAGGCTATTGCTGATTGATTGACAATAACATTAAAAATTAAGATTATGTGTCATTTGCTTTACGTGAGCTGACAAATTTGGGAAGAGAGAATCCTTTAAAACACTTTGCACATTTACACATTTGCTTACAGCAATCCTTTGCATAATAATCAGAAAGTATGGCTAGCTTTCTTCTAATCACCATAACCGTCGTTTTTTTCTGTCTTTTGATAGCAAGAACCAGCCATAGTAGTAGGAGTAGGGTAGTTACAAAAATGATTCATTATAACTCTATTCACTCCCCCTATTTTGACACAAATGCTGCTGAACATAGGGACTTGCATATTTCCTTATCTCGCTTAAGATACTTGAAGGTGAAAATGTAAGAAGACTTGAAGCGGACAATGCAAGATGATTCAAATGATTCAAATGATGATTCAGATCATGATATTGATTTCGAGACTGGAATTTTTGTTAACACATCAATCCCTGTGTTTTTTGTGGGTTTGAACATTGGTTCACGGGAGGCTGCTCAATTGGTTGCGTTGGATACTGGTAGTAATCTGTTTTGGGTTCCTTGCAAACCTGGTATAGGCGGCAGTAGGACATTCTATGGAAACTATTGGCCTGGGGAGTTTTCAACATATTCTGCTAATATGAGGTGCGAGGACCTTTGTTCTTCTACTCCATTGACATGTAAAACAACACCCAATCTGTGCTCATATCAATTGAAATATTTGGGTGAAGTCGTTGTCCGTGAAAATCTTGCATTTGAAAGATTTGTTTTCGGTTTATCATTTGACAACCAACCAACGCATGAGTTAAACAATCTGTTATTTGGATGTACTAGAAAAAATAGCTACATAGACAAGGTCAATGGTGTCTTGGGGCTTGGTCCTTCGGGAATCTCATTAGCTTCACAAACTGGATAGTAGTGAGTTCTCTTATTGTATTGGAAATTTAAGCGATCCATTCGATGAAAAAAAATGTACTGATCATAGGGAAAAAGTCCGGAGGAGTTGAAAACTCAACTCCTCTTATTATAAGGGAGTTCCATTAATACGTAAATCTTGAAGGCATTAGCTTTGGGGGTAGGATGCTCGGCATTGACAAAAAGGATTTGAGAATGGATAATTTTAAAAATGGTGGCGGTGCAATTATTGATTTAGGTTCAAATTTGAGTTTCCTTCAAAATATTACATACGAGAAAGTTGAACAGGCAATTGTTGATTACATATGGGACTCATTGGAAAGACAATATTTCTCTTTGGACAAGTATCAGCTTTGCTATATTGGACACTTGTTTAGGGATTTTAGGGGCTTTCCAACAATAACATTTCATTTTGATGGAGCAACAATGGAATTAGATAAAGAGAAGTTGTTTAAGCAAGTATACCCAGATGTGGTATGTTTAAGTGTGTTGAATGCTGCAGAGAATGGTGTCGATCATAGTCTTCTTGACGTAAAACTCCAAAAATATTTCTATATATCATTTGACATGAATGAAATGCAAGTTAACTTCGAGAGGATGAATTGTGATGCTATTTGGAATTATAATATATGATGAAATGTAAGTTAACTTCGAGAGGATGGATTGTGCTGCTCTTTGGGATGATAATCTGTAATGAGGATGTGAGGCTCTTTTATGTTGAAACTCTTGGAAATGTCGAAGAAGACTTTGAATGGGTGAAACTGCCTTGTTAATGCCTTTGCCTTTTCATTATAGTCAACAACAAATTGTTTAAGTATTTTTCTGTTCTATTCAGGTTTTGAATCGAATTTGAGATGGATTACATAATTTCTTTCTTTTCCTACTATGAGTGTTTCGGAAAATTTCATCCACAGAATTTGGAACAACCCTAGATACGATCATAGGAATTTAATTATCCAACTCCATTAAAACTAGAAAAAACCAACCCTAACCAATAAACACGCTAAGAGGGTTTATTTAAATTAGATCTTGCATTTCCCCAACATAAAACCAATTATGGCGGTTGCCACTAGTTGTCAACTAAACAAACAATTACAGATTCAATTTAATTAACGTGGCAGTAGGTTATTATATTAAATTGAATATCCGGCCGTTGATACTCAATTAATAAAATACCCATGAACAATTAATCTAAAAAACACATGAATAGTAATGAATTGGAAGAAATAATAAAAATTCGGTTAGATCTCACAAATGTTATGGACCGCGCTCTCGCATCGACCTTTGGGTAGAGAAAAAAACCAGCCGCTCCTCATCGTATCAATCTCGCGTGGTTCAGTTGATATCATTCAACTTAATTACCAAAAGAATTGGGAAAAGTGAAATAGCGAAGGAACGGCTGAAAAGCCTTGCTTCCCTTTGTGGCGTTTCGTGTTCGTACCACTGAAGTCAAAATAAAAGCAAAAATCCAATAGGGAAGTCATACAGAAGCCAAAAGTCAAGAGTAAATCGTCTGTAATGTCTGACAGATGGGAGCCAAAAAAAACTAAAGTTAAGCTAATCTATTAGACGTGAATTTGGCTTTGACTAATTGCTCTCGAAGACCAAAGGGAAAAGACGTCTGACTCTACAAAAGCCAAAGCTAACCCTCCAAATGATATCGCGTGAATCTAGCCTCCTCTTTCTTTTGTAGCCGCCACCCCAGAGACCAAGAAACGTCTGCAATTTTACTTTCTTTTGGAGCCTGGGCTTTGATTCCATGTGTCGGGTTCACGTGGGTTTGGTTTCCTAATTAGCCCTGCTGCTACCAATCCCGCAGGTCCAGCTTTAGGTATATCTCCTCAGTTTCTGGCGTGGGCACGCCATAAAATAAAGAGTCTTCTGGAAATTTGCCTCACGTGATCACTTTTAACACCCACCACCTACAATTTATACAAATATCAAATATGAGCAAATTCTCAATTCTTAGCACAATGAGTAGCCAAAATTAGGTCAGAATAATAGTGTAAAATGTGCTAAATAACCGCTCTATCAGATCACTAGAAATACGCGACCACGACGTCGCGTATTCACTGGTCGCGTATTACAATCCGCACCTATAAAACATAATACATGACTAGCAAGTCGCGTATTATAGTCACGTATTGAGTCCTCGAGCATGAAAGCGAATACGCAAACTGCAATTTTTCATTCTTACACTGCTTCTACTCATGTTTTCTCTTCTCCTCTCACACATAATTCACAAAACTCCATTTTTGCTCCATATCTTGGCTAAAAATCATCAACCCAACACCTATTGAGCATCATATAACCTTTCTAATCGATTAAAATTCAACAAAAACAACTAAAAAATCGGTTGTAAGGAGATTGAAGGCTAAGGTTTCTAGTTGTTAATTTCTTCAATTGGAGGGTGTTTTATAGGGCTTTTCACATATTTAGCATCACCAAATATCCTTTTATGTGATTGAGGTAAGTTTTTCATCAAATCTTCGTATTTTGGAAGTTCATATTTTTCAATTTCCTAAGTTTTCTAACATCTTTTAATTCCGAATTTTTGATGATATATATTGTTGTTTCTAGCCTCTATTATACTTCTTAAGGTTGTTTAAGTATGTTTACATGTTCAAATGTAGTAAATTGATGATTAATAGTTCTTTAAATTTTTAAATTGCTATATTTGGCTAAAATTAGAAAGTTGGCGTGAAATATTTTTAAGCCATTGGTGATCAATGATTAGGGTATAAAATGATTGGTTGATGACGTTTTAGCATGTGCATTATGTATAGGGAGAAATTTGGATGATTTTGTGAGTTATTAGGATAATTTTTGTTTAATCATGATTATAGTTAATTGCGTAGTATTGTAGTTAATTACTGATTGCTATAATCATGATTAACGCTAATTTCATTGATTGGAATATAATTGTTATCTATTTTGAGTAAATTAGTAACGTTTGCAATTTTTGACAATTTTACAGTCATGTCTCTCTTGTTATATTGTCGAACGTTTTTGAATACTCAATTAACTCTTTATGGCATAGGGATATGAACTTATGGTTATTTGCGTCGATTTTGGCTTTTCTACATGCATTATTATCAATGTGTGAGCTATGTTATAGTATATGGACTGATTGAATTTTTTTAGGTACTATGGTAAGAGGAAAACAAGTGGTAGATTCTTTCTCGAGTAGTGAAGAGACTGAAGAAATGGAAAATAGTGAACAAGTAGAAGAAACTGAAGAGGATGCGCGATCCCCTTCACCTCCACCTGCTCCTCGACATCATTGGGGGAGAATTGCGCGACATACTGAGCCAATGATATTTGATAGCGCACGGTTTTCCATGTGACAACACCAGGAGTGGTATGACATGGAGTTTTTGTTCGAAAAGCATGTGAGCTCCGAGGTCGAGACTGCATTTCAGATTTCGGAAGCGTTTGACCAACTGGGTTGGGCGCCGATTCTTCGATTGCCTACCACCTACTATCCAGAGCTAGTGCGCGAATTTTATGCTAATATCATCAACAAAGCACGGCATAGTGGCGAATTGGTAGAATCTTGGGTCCGGGGAATGCACATCTCCTTGTCACGGCGGTGTCTGGTAGCAATTTTGGGTTGTCGCGACCAAGGTCCAGCAGTCGATTTGAAGAAGGGATTCATCGCTCCCAATAAGAGGTAGGATCCATCACATGCCATGACAAGGTTTGATTTGGAATACCAACCTTTCCGTTCTTCGAGGAAAGAGACGATAGTTGCTAGCTTTTTTGGCGTTTGCCATCATCTCATTATTTATATGATGGCACATAATGTGATCCCCAAGAAAACGGGCCATAGCGAGGTCCAGAAGAGTGATATCTACTTCCTCGATTATATGTTCCATAACCGGAAGACCTCATATGCCCATATTCCGTTGTCAAACATCATCATCAGCTACATACGGTCAACAGCAAGACGTCGAACAACCTCTTTCAAGTTGGCATTCCCTCACCTACTCACATTGGTATTCAAACAGATGGGGGTTAATTTAATTGGAATTACGCAACAAGTAGTTCACCCGAGTGCCGAGTTAACTTTTATCTCACTACAAAGCATGGGTATTGACGTGGTAGCTGTCCATCATCCACTTACGGAGCAGCGTTCCAAGGCGCGGCATGGTGGCGGTAAGGCTAGCCCATCCACCTCTGCTCTACCACTGCCTTTCCTAGTGCATCATCCTCAATCCAACTAGCAAAGGCTTTTCACTCGCTTGGATGACATTACCGGTTGGGGAGGATGGACACTCGCATTGAGCGTATTGAAGCTTACTTGGGCATTCCTCTGCCTCTCGCGTGAGATGACGAGAGTGACGCCTGAAGTTTCACCGGATTTATTTTCTTTATCTTTGTTTTCCATTTTGTTTTCTTTGTGGTTGTTGTCGTTTGTTCTAACTTGCAAGGGATGTTTACCTTGAATTTCTTACTTTGAATATTGGAACTTGTGGCAGTTTTTAATAGATAGTTGATTGTCGATGGTTGATCGGTCGATGACTCGTGATTCAAGGTTGAACTGGACCGCAGCCATCTCAACTGGGGGAGTAATTTGTTCTTATTTTTGTTTCTTTCCTTTCCCCTATACATTGAGGACAATGTGTATGTTAAGTGTTGGGGGGGTAGGGAGGAGAATTGTTTGTTGGATGTTACTATGTTTGGCTATGTTATTGGACATATTTCTTGTGCTTAAATGTTGTTTCTTTTGGGTTTGCTGGTAGGGAGTTTCGTCCAGTTTTAAGGGGAAACTCTGTCAAAATTTTTCAAAATCTTGTCCAAACTTGCAAAATTGCCTCAAAAAGGTTTCAAATTTTTTTGATTTTATCCAAGGGGTAACAAGTTACATACCATTAGTAGTTCAAATTCCTTCTATTTTTGAGATAAATATATGTGATTTGGATACTTCTTTTCTCATTTAATTTGGAAATAAATATTATGTGATTATAATTTGTGTATGTATAGAAAAGTATATCTTGC